CCCAAGGCTCTGTCCAACCTGGCCTTGAACACCATTAGAGATGGAGCATTCACAGCTTCCTTGGGCAACCCATTCCAGTGCCTCACCACCCTTACAGTAAAGAACTTCCCATCAAGAGATCTCTTCCATAGCGGGCACCTTACTTTGCTAACTTAATGCCTTTGCTTTTACTTTTTCAAGCATTAAGGGGAAGTTATGAGTTGCCTGCTTAGGGTGTGCAGAGGTAATTGAAAATAAACTGCTTCTGTTTAATGTTGCTTGTGTGGCTTACTATGTTATGATGTGTGGCCATCAGGACACTGCCTGAATGATTTGAGGGTGTCTTTACTTGGAATGAATATGCATCATTATCTTGAATTTGCAGAGATTCTACCATGGGTATCTACCAGAATGTACAGTTCTCAGTAGATCTGTATAGCATTATTTCTGTATTAATACCTGAAACGCAATGCTTGCTGTGTGTAGTTCTGTGATCCTTATAATTAGAAATACAGGCTTTGTTCATGACGGTTGTATTATTATCCACTATATTTGTGTAAGTACAGGGAAATGAGTAGTTCGGAAAGAACTGCCTCATTATTTTTGAGTCGGTGTTGTTCACATTCTGTTCTTCCATTGATGTTTTCTCTGTTTCAGGGATTTTAGATTTTCTGAACAAAAAAGAAATGATAGCAGCTGCACGGTATTTTGTAATCTAACGTGAACACAAGTAGTCCTGACATTGTCCTTTCTGAACTCCAGAGCCTAGTGAAGGGGCTATAAGGATATATCCCACTGTTTGAAATATCTGAGCTTAAGTTACCAGTGTGTGGCCACTTGGAAAGAAATGGCCAGAACATCAACTATCCAAGCCAAGACTACTTCTTGCTCCTTGTGAATCTGCACCAAGGCCGGGGAGAAGATTACTTCTTACTTTCAGGTTGGAATAATGGGAAAATATCATTGTTTTTCTTTGAGCTGACAGTCTGCCAGCTTAAGTCCTTGAAACCTGTAGCTTTCCCTCTGTTTTAGCAGGGCGCATCCAGCCAACTCAGCATGTTAGTTTTGAAGTAAGCATTTTCAGCAGCTGAACTTTCAACATGAATGCTCAAAGCAGCAGCTTAAATAGAGTCCTAACCTCTCTGTCTGCAGTCAGAGCCCCACAGCTGATTAACATGGTAGGCTTCAAAGTAGCTGTTTCAGGTCTTCTTATCTTGAGTAGAACTAACCAGTGCTGCAGTGGAAGGAAGCATTCTTGCCCTGGCTGCTGCTTTTCCCTCCTCACCCAGTCATCCCTTGAGTTACCATGAATGTTTAGACAGAAGTCAAACCAGATGGAATAAATGATTAAGACTGTTTGAGAGAATTCATTTCAGTGTGGATCAGTTCCTTGAGCTGGTTGACTGAGCAGCCATATGGTGTGCAGACCACCTCCTGCACCAGCACAGGTGGGCAGGAAGAGGCTGATGCCATTTCTTTTGGTTGCAGTACTGACTTAGGCCAATTTTCTGTGTTGTTGGAATTCAGTTTGGTGTCCTTTACATCTTGGTGGGTTTGAGTTTTGATTTGGTGGTTCAGACCTTCAGATTCTTCTCGCTACACAGCAGCACTTGCAAGTTATCAGAGACTGATAGGGCCAAGCACTACTATTTTTTTTCCTAATGAGGCTTTCATGAACACTTGGGACACTTGGGCCTTTTACCTTGACTAGTTAAGAAATAACAGCCACTTTTTCCTTCCAGCCTCCAAATCAGTTCAAGCTGTCTGCAATGAACACGTTTTTGTGCATGTGCAGAAAAATGCATGGTTCCACATAAGCCAACATATTCCTTGTTTTTCAACAAAGGCTGTCTCTTAATGTACAGTAGTAATTCATTATCTCTGGAATGTGTATTGGAAGGGAGGAAATTGCTTTGTAATTCTTAGTATTTCCCTTCCTTCCTTCCTTCCTCAAGTGGGTTACTTTCAAGGGTAGGTGTTTGCCAGCCTTATTCATTTTGACTGAATAAGGTTGAGGAGTGCTTATGTGAGCAGCTTTGTTAGTGCATCCCTAGGAGCAGTAGCCTATAGCAGGCATTTGGTAATGTGCAAATAGGGCATTAACCTCTTGTGCAAGCATACCTTAAGGGAAGCAAATGTCTTTAATGACAGAGTCTGTTGTCACTGCTTATTGAATCATTGCAAAGTAAGGAACAATCCAAATAGAAGCATAGACTCCCTCCATTCCTTTCACTTTACCTCTGTGGTCCAAGGTGATGTGCATCAGTGTCACGGAGTGTGTTATCCTGCTTGCCTGTGTAGGCTAGTGCTAGCATTGAACTAAACAGTGTTTAAAGAGCTGAGATTGTGATTTGTCTCCCTCCCCTCTCTTTCCCTCAGTTTTCAGATGGTTGGGGGTTTTTGACTGGTTTTGTTTTCTTTTGATGCTTTTTCCTTGTTATCTTTCAGTGTTCTGAAGCTGTCATCATATGAACATACCAAAACAATGAGTCTTGTAGATGCTTGTTTTTTTAATAAGCATACTATACCTGCTTTGTAAGGTGTCATATGTTATGCAGTGTATCAGCTTTTGTGAAGATGGTACATTTTAGGAGTTAATATTTTTGATGTAGTTTACCTTATCAGCTGATTTTTAAGTTAGCTAACACTGAGAGAGTAGAACAAGTGTATTAGCTTTAGGACAGAACACAACCTTGGCTTTGAATGTTCCTCCTAGGAAGTCACAGCAGAAAGCTCTGGTTAGATCTCTTGACACTTCTGGAAGAATGGTCTGGGTTTGCACAGTAATCTATTAATATGTGGTACTTCAGGATTGCAAACAGGTTGTAACAGTTGTCTTTATTTAAATCGTATTACACAAACGGTTTTGGTAGCTTCTCTTTGAAGACTGCACTCATGCAAACCTCATGGCTTTGAATGTCTCTACATTTACTACAGATGGAGAGAGAATGTTAAGATACTACTGCGCATTGTTTCTGTTATCCCTGTAGAGTTCTTTCTACCTGTTGGGCTTTTTTAAGGTAATTTATGCCAGTTTAAAGTAGACAGAAATCATTTTTAGCTGAAAACAGATTGGTTTAGGAATATTTCTTTTTCTTAGAAAACCTACAAATTGGTGAATTCACTTTGTAGATTTTGGTAGAATTAAATTTGTTTTCTGTTTTGGCTGCAGTAACCCCTGGCATTGCTCCTTTGTAAAACTGGGATGACTTTAGGGCCAGTTCAGAAGTAATTTGTATTTTGTCAGCCTTAGCAGTGCCACAGGAAATCTGTGAAACCACACATCTGTTGCACATTAGTTTAAATCAATGTCAAATTACTAGATTGGATATTACATACCAATGACTCAAGTTTTAGTCTTACACAAGGTTGAGAGGTTTAACTGAGACAGTCACCCAAACTGAGTTTTCCATTCGGGAGGGATGGGTTTCCAAAGCAACCACTGCCTCCTGTAGCCACCAGGCAACTTTGTCCACCAGGCTGTGGCGGCTGGCTAGCATCGCTGGTGTGATAGGTGGTACACAGACTGCTCGTGTTCCTGAGCAGAGCAAGGGAATAATACTGATGTATAAAATAGTGCACGTTAAGCATGAAATGTCAAGATCAGCTTCTGTGTCCTTTTTGTATTTTTAATGAGTTAAAATGGTTAGTGTGCAGCCCCTTTGTCACCTGTGGCCGGTAAAACAGTATTGCTGGTTTTGTTTGGAATGCAGGTATGTCTTAGGAGGCCTGCATGATCTGATGGTTTAAGGAAGGCTTTATTGGAAATTGTATAGCCCTTATTGTAGCAACTTTACCATTATTTGCTCCATTAAAGCCTTGCTCTGAACTGGGTTTTACTGTCTTGTGTTTGTAGAGTTGCTAGGAACATAATGGAGGGGGCAAAAAGCAATGGGTGTAAATGTTGAAGTTGCAGAATCTTACTTTTGCTTCGATCTCCATTCTATACTAAAATTTTATCCTAGTAACTGTTGCTCTCTGGAAAGGTTACTTCTATGGAATCTTTCAGTAGCAGTGAGGCCTAACTTTAAAAGTGTTTCAGGGATTTTTGGTGCTTCCAGAGGTGAAGGGAAACTTTAGTGCTTTTCGGACATTACCCTGGATTTTCTGCATGGGGATAATAACTTTTAATATTCACGTAGTGATTGCTCAACCCCATGGGGCTTTTTTATTTCAATAAATGCATCATATTTGAATATTGTTTTCCTGTTCTGCATGTAAGGCTTTAACATAAGCTCCCAATGTTTTAACTCTTAATGGTGTCCTAGGCTTGGCTGTAGCGTGGAGAAGAAAATTACTCTCCTGTGTCCTGTTTCTGTTAGATTTCTGACAGTGGTGTGAGCGTATTAAATCACTCGACTCCTCTTGGATTTCTGAAAAACAATGATGATTATTTTAGGGAAGTGCTGACCTATTCTTTTAATAAGAGCTTGTCTTGTATTCCACCTTCCCATTTTTAGAATCATGGTTCATATGCCTCTTGCTGCACAATCCTATAACATCCTGTGGCAAGTACAGCAGTTGCTTACCTGGAAAAGTAATATTAGGAAAGTGTGTATTTTTAGCTGCCTTTTGATGTGATGTAGCAGCTGGAAACAAGGAGGAGAGGCAGCATGAGGTGATCTGACAGCACTGCCAATCACAACTTGGGAACCACAGCTTTGGACTTGTGACCAAACTGAGGGGAATCCATTTTTACAGGCCTGAGTGTGCCCATTGTGCCTGGCACTTCAGCGATCCAGATGCTGTGGCTTCACTTTTGGGGCTCAGAAGCTCAGTTTTGAGGATCCTCTTCTGGACTCTTGACAAATATTGTTAAGAGATGAAATAAAGTTCCGTAAAGCTTTTTGTTTGTGTTGGTTTGCATTAAAAGTATATAGTAAGCAGGCAGTTCCACGGACATATTTGGGATATAATAGGTAAAATATCACTTTGATACCAGTGACTAACTGTAAACACCTAAATTGAAATCTATTCTATCAGCTAACAAAAATGCCATTTTGCCATTTTTCTCTTTGTAGGAATCATGTCCAGAACTCAGAGAAGGAATCTAGCAAGTTCATGTTGAGGTATATTCTGAAGACAAAATACAGTGACTCATATGCTTTTCTGGGTAAGAAGGATGTCTATATTCTCTTGAGTATGACAAAAAGTAGTTAAACTGTTAAATGTAACTTGTGAAAAGTACAGTCTGTCAAGCCAGTATGGTGGGGGTTTGGTTTTCCTTTGCTCTTGAAGCTTTCTGGACAAGTGTAGAGAGTTTCCCACCCATCTAACAGTCTAAAGACACTCTAGACTAATAGTGCAAAGAAAGAGCAATAATGAGCAGTACTGGAATAAAAGACACCACTGAACAGTGTGTGACTGGTTGGGAAAGTAATTCCAATGCATTGTTGCAAAGACTGCTTCTAGCCTGATTTCCCAAGAGAATGGAGGTGGTGTACTCTCTCTTCCTCCTTCTCCATTCCCAACAATGTTAAACATCTCTAGGAAGAGAAATGTACAACTTGAGAGAAAAGTGGGTAGAAGACCACCATATATATGCTGTATTGACAGGCTGGCAACCAGCAAACATAAGCTGCCTCCTGGTCAGCGTGGATGAATATGAGATACCACAAGCAGCTATGGTTATTGTTATGGCAGGACACATGGTTGTAGGGTGCCTATAGATCTGTATGTTATCTGACTTTGTTAGCTCAGCTGCTTTGGAACTCCCAGAGTTCCCTGACTTGGTCCAGACAACTCCAGAAAAGGCAAATTTAGGCAGTTTTTTTTTAATCAGGAAGACATTATTTTCTCAGTTGCTTACACACTTTTACCTATGCACAGAACTCTTACAGCATCTCTTATCTATAACACTTCTCTGCAAGTGTCTCCCTCCTTAATAACTACTTGGGTGTTGTTCATATTGTCATTAGCATTGTGTTCTAGCTAACTTGTACCAGTAGTTTCCAGAGACTGTTAAGGCCTGTTTTCCCTGCTTCCCCTCACCACCTCCCTGCATCCACACTGAAGTCTTAAGGTTTTACTTCATGCGGTTAGATGTAGATACCTTGCAGTTAGATGTAGACGCCTTGCTTGCTGGGTTTGCTAAATTATCTGAGGAGCAGGTGAAGAAAGCATTTGCTCCTTTTCCTTTCTGTTCCTGTAACAGCTAGGTGTTTCACATTCATTATCCTTCCATGATTCTGATGTAAGCTGTACCTCTGACTCTTCCTCAGTCCTGGTGGATTCTGCTATAAAGTCATGGGTTTACAGCTGTGCTTTATCTTAAGGGACTTCTAGACTGAATCACTAGAGCATTGCTTACTTATTATCCACGTTATTTCATGAGTCCCAATGTGTTCAATCACTGCTTCAGATTCCTTTCTAGCTGTGATCAGAAAAGAACTGCAGGAACAGAGGAATGTTGCCTTGAAGTAATGTTTCCAAAGGACTGAGCAGTTTTCCTTAAGAGTTAAATTAGATAAGATGGCATGTTTTAGTCCTTAAGTTTAGCACTTCTCTCAGAACTTAATTAGATCTAATTTAGCTTGGCATTGCCTGACTTTTTTAGTAGAGAATTAGCCTGTTTCTCTCTGTCCTAGGGCAGTCTTGAGTTTTTGGCAGTCTTGTTCCGATTATCACACTCTGTTTCTAAAGAAGTCCTTGCAGAATACACACTGCTAATGTTTTTATCTCTTGACTGTATCTTCATGATTCACTGTCATTGTGTTTCTGCTGTAAGCTGGTTTCTTTTTAAGTGCTTCTACTAAAGATAGTAAAGCTCCTTAGCTCTTTCATTCTTTTATATCTTGAGTAATAAAGTCAGGCAGTTCCTCTTTGTTTTTAAGTGTTTCATATATATGGCTTTAATTTATGAGAGAGTTTATAATTCTGGAGTTCTGCTGATACCTTATTGCCTTTCCTTGTCTTTGGCAATTGCCTCATCTAAGAATGCTGAATGCTTCCCCCCCCAATTTCAATTTTTGTGCACTTTTTTATAATCTTGATAGTTACAGCTTGGAATTTATCTGACCTATGGCTGGAGCTTTTGCTTTTAGATGGTGTATTTGGGCATTTGCAGCGTGCTTGTTGGATTTCACTAACTGCTATCATGGTTTGGAGTGTCTTGAACAGTCCTTTTTCAGGATTTGTTTTACTGCTGCTTATTGGAAGCTTATCAGGGAGTCACACTTTACGTGTCATTTACAGATTCTTCCTAAAATGAAGAATTTCAGACTGTGTATTTCCTGTTCATCAAACCCAACTCTACATGCTGCAGAAAAAATGGGGAGGGCCTGCTTGTAAATAAAATGTTTGTCACTTCCTAAACATTTTCTCATGGGATTTTTCTAACTATCAGAACGGTGTGACGTGTGACACTTCCACATAACCATATGAACAATAGAGCACTTCTTAAAATGTAGTGTTTTCAATTAACAGTCATTTTGTGCCTGTAACTTAATTGATAACTGAAGGTGTAGTCTCTTTTTTAACTCTATTTGTATTTTAATATTTCTTCTCCTCTTGAATTTAGATAACATAATCCATGGATAAAGTGGGAAAGATGTGGAACAATTTCAAATACAGGTGCCAGAATCTCTTCAGTCATGAGGGTGGAAGCCAAAATGAAAATGTGGTTGTGAACTCCAGCAGTTGCTCGTCTGCTAAAGAGAAAGCTATCCAGATAACTGATTTGGCTCAACAACAACCCGGTAGCCCTTTGAGAGAAAACATTGCTTTGCAATTAGGTTTAAGCCCTTCAAAGAATTCAGCAAGGCGAAACCCAAACTGTGTCACGGAAATCCCTCAGATTGTTGAAATAAGCATTGAGAAAGAGAATGACTCGTGTGTCACCACGGGAGCTAGGCTTGCTCGAAGGGACTCCTATTCTCGGCATGCCCCTTGGGGTGGGAAGAAGAAGCATTCCTGCTCTACCAAAACCCAGAGTTCCTTGGATACTGAAAAAAGAATTGGTAGAACACGAAGTGGTTTGCAGAGGAGGGAGAGAAGGTACGGGGTGAGCTCTGTCCATGATATGGATGCGGTGTCAAGCAGGACAGTAGGTAGCCGTTCTCTGCGACAGCGTCTGCAGGATACCGTTGGGCTGTGTTTTCCCATGAGAACTTACAGCAAGCAGTCCAAACCTCTGTTTTCCAACAAAAGAAAGATCCATCTCTCTGAACTAATGCTTGAGAAATGCCCTTTTCCTGCAGGCTCAGACCTGGCTCAGAAGTGGCATCTGATTAAACAACACACAGCTCCTGTGAGTCCTCATTCAACTTTCTTTGACACATTTGATCCTTCCTTGGTTTCCACAGAAGATGAAGAAGACAGGCTCAGAGAGAGACGTAGACTTAGTATTGAAGAAGGGGTTGATCCCCCTCCCAATGCCCAAATACATACTTTTGAAGCTACAGCACAGGTTAATCCATTGTATAAACTGGGACCAAAGTTAGCCCCTGGTATGACTGAGCTGACCGGGGACAAAAACCTCACGCCTCCAGGGAACTGTGACTCTGAAGAGGACACAACAACGCTCTGTCTGCAGTCACGCAGGCAGAAGCAGCGACAGATGTCTGGGGAGGGCCACGGCCATATCAGTAGGCAGGGGGCTTGGAAAGTGCACACTCAAATCGATTACATCCACTGCCTTGTGCCAGACTTACTTCAGATCACAGGTAACCCGTGTTACTGGGGGGTGATGGACCGCTATGAAGCAGAAGCACTTCTGGAGGGTAAACCCGAAGGCACTTTTTTGCTCAGGGATTCTGCGCAAGAGGACTACCTCTTCTCTGTGAGCTTCCGTCGTTACAACCGATCGCTACACGCACGCATTGAGCAGTGGAATCACAACTTTAGTTTCGATGCCCACGATCCCTGTGTGTTTCACTCCTCCACGGTTACAGGGCTTCTGGAACACTACAAAGACCCTAGCTCTTGCATGTTCTTCGAACCATTACTTACTGTATCTCTGAACAGGACTTTCCCCTTTAGTCTGCAGTATATCTGCCGGGCAGTAATCTGCAGGTGCACTACGTATGATGGAATTGATGACCTTCCTCTACCCTCAATGTTGCAAGACTTTCTCAAGGAGTATCACTATAAACAAAAAGTCAGGGTGCGATGGCTGGAGCGGGAACCTATAAAATCAAAGTAAAAAGAAATCAGAATAAGCTTCTAGAATATGCTTTTTCTTTGTGTGTGTTACGGTTTAACTGCAGCAAGCGCACCAACAACGTCTAGCTTTTCTGCAATATCCTATTTAAGCTGAGTGTTAGTATCCTGTCAGATGCTGCCTGCTGTTAATCAGACTAAGTTGTGATGCCTCTTGGAAACAATAAGCAGACACAATTCTGCACGTTTTTCATTAAGGCCTAATGAAAATATTTTTGCTAATTTCTAAATATTTTTGTTTCCCTTTTAGAGCTGTAGTAATTGGATGAAGAAACTATGAGGCATTTTCCATGGGGCATTCATGTAATGCTAAGAAAGGCTTTAGTAGAGGAGCATTTTTGCTAATATTTGAAATATTTTTATAAAATTACCTTCTTGAAAGCTCTCCACTACTCAAAGCACTGATTTAGCTCACAAACAAGTTCCCAAATACTAGTGAATTAAGACTATTTTTCTTTAACGAAGAGCAGTTCATTCGAAGCAGTCCATTAAGAGTTAATGGTGCTTTTACACTAACAGATGAATCATGCGTTTCTCAGTGTATAAGGTTTCCTAATCATTAAGACTTGAATATGCCTGCTCAGTACTGTAATTCTATTTTAAACACTTGGAGATTTAAGTGGCATTGTTAGCAAAAGTAATACTGTCTTGGACAGTTAAGTACCTTCCAGTGTGAATTACTGCTTCAGTGACAGGACAGGGGATTACATTATTGCCATGCAACAAAAGGTGGTGGTTTTTCCTAAACCAGAATTTGGTGGCCTGCCTGCAAGTAACTGACAATGGAAGGTAATAGTGAAGAGAAAAATAATGTTTAATTATTTAAAGTCGTCTGATATTTTTATGGAGAAAATTACAAGTGGTTGAATTATTATAACCAGAACACAAAATCTGACATACCCGAAATAAATGTCAGGTTTCAAAGGTACTGTTACACTTTATTTGTAAATATCTTTCCATTTGCGCTTTTAAAAATACCTTAAAGTAATATGCACTGATGGATAGTTTCAACAGATCGCTTAGAAACAAGATTCTAAGTTCTGTTTGCTTATTTAATTGGAGATGGAACTGAGAATAGTTCTGTCTTGGATGGTTTTGCACTAAAATTTCATTGGAATGCCCTGACCCCTGTTTCATGTTTTGTACCAATTCCGAGTGCTCCCTAGTTTCTTTACCAGCTGCTACAGTGTGTTATTACTTACTTCTCTATGGCAGTGACCTGTGCGAGGTAGGGAACATTTGGCTGCAAGTACAATAAACGTTATTCTTGTATGCTACACTAACCCTTCTCTTGATGTATTTTTCTGCTTGCTGTGCCTTGTTCTGGCTTTTTGTGCTAATAAAGTACAGTATGTTCAGTGTTATACTTGTATATCTGCTCTGTTTTTATATATTCACATAACTTGTAGCAGTTAACTGAATTTTTAATAGGCTTTTCTTAGTACTTAGTATAGGTAACGCACAAACACTGTGCAGTTGAAGACTGGTTTAGTCAGCACACCATAGTCCTGGGTTTTGTTACTTGCTTATCAGAAACCTGGCGGTGTTCACCTTTCAATAATGTTTCTGTAGTCACTGCAAAGTAACGGACGTGTCTGCAGGCATAGAGCATTTTGCAGGTTTTTGTAATGGAAAGGATAAATGTTAAGCAGAAAGTATTCTAAAACTTTATCGATCCCCTTTAATGGTTGCTGAAGGTGTTTCAGCTTCTTCCATTGGCTAACTGCTAAGCTTTTGATACTCCCCACTGCGTAAGGAATGGTTATTCCTGTAAATTGACAGTACAGCGGTGGCATTTGTCCACTTTTAGACTATTTTAATAAATAGATGTATGTGCAAACTGGCCAAATGTCCTGTTTTTACCAAAGAATACTGTCAATTTATGTTGGGGTCTTTCTTTTTTGTAGTAAAAAGAGTGGAGAGGTGCGATTTCTGTTCTATCAGATATTTATCCCAAGCTATGATAAACCAAAGTGTATTTGACAGCTTCATCTGAACTTAATGTGTACATTTATGTTGGTAGAGCTTAAAACCTGTACACCAGTGGTGTCGTTGTTTTCCTTGAACTCACAATGCACCTGTAGGAGGATGATTTAAGTAATGTTTGTAATGACTGGAACAGCACTACATGAAAGCTCATACTGCAAGGGGTTAATCTGAAGCACCCAGAAAGCACTTTAAAACGTGTGTTTATATGCTTGTGGAAAATTTGTGATCCCGTTATGCATTCTTTGTAGTAGCTTATCTTTCATGTGTTTAAAAGACTTAAACTGTTACAATGGAACTTTGTTTAGAGTGTGTAAATACCAAGTGTATGTAAGTATATGTACAAATGTGCTAATGGTCACTTAAGTTTTGAATTGTGTGTGTCATTGGATATGCAACTCCTGGTTTCAAATCTGCTCGAAGCATAAAAAGCAGAGAAACGAAGTCACCAGCATGAAATTGCACCTAAGTGTACCTTCACTGTGTCGTTCTCACTGTTCCCTCAGTTGGATCTGAATTCCAGACGAGTTTACTTTAAATCTTGCTTTCAATATTACTATCGTGCAGTCAGCCTGCAGCCAAGCTTTGCCCCAGTGTGGGGACCTGTTCTTTGTTTACACCCATTGCAGTTCCTTGTCATAAAGTAGCTGATGAGATTCTAGCTGTGACATTATCAATGTGGTCAGGAGTACACGTTCATTTCATTTTTTATCATGTGGTGAAATCTTTGGAGGAAAAAAAAAAAAGAAATAAAAACCCCAAACCCTTATCTCAGAAAGTTTGCTCTTGCATTTGTGTAAATAATCTGTATGGAGAGGATTTATTGCTGCCTTAAAGCACACGAAAAAGGAATTATCTGTTTCCTTACAACTTCATTAAAGCTTTGCTTCACTGAAATATACAGAATAACTTGCTAGTGTGGTTATGCTAAAAATAATCATGTTTTGAATCATAGTAGGCTTGAGCGTTGACTGCTGGAGTTGCAGTAATGAGTGCATTTTCAGTTCTAAAGGCACTAAAATGTTGGTGTGTTGAGAATGCAATTCCTGCTTTCTGTTCGAGGAGTACACCTTCACCTGATTTCATTCAGGGTATTTTATACATGTCATCTTCAAAGATGTGCACAAACCACTGATAGGATTCAATGTAGTAAGTTATGGTAGCATGTTTCTAACCTGATTTGGTTGCATGGCAGATAAGTATTTGATCTTGCAAAATGCTCTGTCAAGGTGATTGACCTTTCTGTAGGAAAGGCTACGTAGAAAGGGCTTACTCAGTAGGACTGTTTTGCAAAGAGCCTTACAAAGATCTTTGACCAGATTGGAAAAGAACGGGGGATGTGGGGAGTACTATGTGTGAGTTAAGATCTCGGAATACTCAGCTCAACTTGATGTTTTTGTTCCTTAAAAATACACACGTCGTTATGTTTTTGAAGGTTGGCAACAGCACCAGTTTACCAACATATGGAAATTACAATTTCCATATAACATGCTGTCTAGCATTGGGAAACTACGGTGTAAGTAGAACTACCCGTAACGCACTGACATACAGCGTGTGGAGGTTTTTTACTCTGACTGCATCATTGTTTGTAGAACAATTGCCATTTAAAAAATGAGGACATTAAATCCAAATGGTGTTAGAAAGCGATCTTTATGTCCCCATGGAGTTGGAGAGATGTAACTATACTGTATTTTACCTATACAGGAGGGTCTGCGGGTTGGGATACCTTATCAGCTTTAAAGGCATAACTCTCCTGAAAATACTCTTAAAGAGTAGACATTTGTCCACGTATTACTTGTCTGAATCTTCATTTAAGAGAGTAAGTTAGAAAGCTTTGGTTTGCATTTTATGTACTTTGAATTTTGTGTATTTGAAGATTTGTTGCTCACAAATTGATGGCCTTTAAATCAGAAGCATGCAGTCTTAGACCTGTCTGTGTATTCATTTGACAAGATGAATTTAAGCCTTTGCTAGATGTCATCCTGGTACTCGCTCCCATCCTTAAGTCTATATTTAAGGTTCTGCACTACTCAGAAACGAGCAAAGATTCTGAATTTATCTGATGCAAGCCAGGTTTACTTTATTCTCCAGCAGCTAGCCGAAATGTTTGCAGAATACTTTAAAGCTTGTTTCTGCTGTGGAGTTGCATGTAAGATCGGACCTGTGAAGTGAGACGTTGCCGAGTACCAGAGAGATGAATATGCAGGGAGCATGTGGGGGTTTTCTGGTTTTTATATGAACTGCCTCTTCTGTGATTCTTTCCAAAATAACAATATTTGTGTCCTTTGAAAATCATTCCCACTTGAAATTGAGACTGAATTTCTTTTTTCTAAAGTGTTGTGAAGTGACCATCTATGTGCCAAACCTTAGTCTGCAAGAATCTATGTAGCCTATATATATATATACATATAAATAGAAGATTACTCCAAGCATGTGTACATTCATGTTCTTATTTGAAGCTACCTGCAGTACACCAATATTGTGAGCATTAATACACTGGGATTCTAAAAACTCTCTTTGTGCTTGGCATACATTCCAAATAAAAGGACTGTTTTACTTGTAACTTAAGCTGTATTTATATATTGCAGCCAGTTGATTGGTGTGTGTTAAACACTTGTCTCCTGCCTGTGCCTGAAGGAGGCTTTCTGTTCATAACTGCAGTAGACTGACATGAAATCGGTTGGCATTTAAAGTGTTAACTCTTACGAAACATGGTAGAACGCTGCTCATTGCTCTCCCTTTTTGCAGTATTGATGTAGGAAGAATCATTTAGCTTCACTATGGATGTGTGTACTAAAGGCTGTTGACTTAAAATGGCAGAATTTTAAGGTTTTGGGGGTTTTGTCTTTAATTTTCTCAATTGAAAATGCTGGTGCTGAGGATAGAAAAAGGCTTTGTGTTTTCACAGCAAAGTGCATAAAGTAAATGCTTTGCAGTGAGCTAAGGATCTCTTGAAATGTTTTTGAAGTCGTCCCCCCCCATTGTGTCTTAAATCGAGACTTTTAAAGAAAAAAATAAGCATCTCTTAATGACTTAAACCTTACAGTCAATTAAATATTGAAATCTGGTGCTTTTACTTAATTTTGCTTGCATGTCGCTATACAGACTTAAAAGTAGTTGTTTCAAGAAGCAAATTCTGTTATTTCAATGAAGCATTGCCTTATTTTTATGAAACACTCAATTTACAAAACTTATGTATCAATAGGATGTTAACCTGGTACTGTTTTCAACTCTCTTATTATCAAGGTAATTATTGTGTATCAGCTTTTCAAGCTGAATAAATGGTCACTTTGTAAATCTGCATTAAAGCTACAGCTGTTATCAGCTAGGGTTATTTGGGCCAACGTTATGTATTTATGAGCCGAAGCTCCTGGTGCTTGACCCCTTTTTCTCTATCTTCCATACAAAAAAGAAAAGTGTAATTGGGCATGTGTGATACAGCTAATGTTGCACATCTTGTGAAGCACATAGCTACTACTGACAAGCAGAAACAGAGCTGCACTTGCTTGTCGGGAGTAACCTCTCTTGCTTTCTCAGCAGTTGTAACGGTGGCAAGTTGGCAAGGAGGAAGCAGAATTGGGTTTTGTTCTTCTCTGAACAGCTGTTACATTGAACACGGTGTGTGTTGCCTGTGCAATAAGGTATAGTAACTTTTTAGAGCACCAGTTATTTTAATAGCTTTTGGAGTACGTGGAAGTACTTGGCTGCTTTGTCACTTCTTGCTTTTGTAGTTTTACGAAAGCATGAAGAGATGTAGTTATTAAAACTGAATCTATGTAGTCACCAACTGTATAAGCACTATTTTGTAATATCTTGGTGGAGATAGGGTATTCCTACACAGCTGTATTTCAGCTGTTTTGGGAGAACGAACACTGTGGGCACAAATTCATTCAGATTGCACTATAAACTTTCTTACCAAAAGCCTTCATTCTTAAAGAAAGAAAATCCTATGCGATCCCTGCACAGAAAAACCATAGTTCTGGTGATATGCTCCAGACGGTCCCCGGACCTTTTCCCGACATTCCAGCTGAAGGGGCCCTGGCAGGCCTGCCGGGCACTCGAGGAGTTGGCTGGCAAGTGTGCTGTGCCCGATGCCAGCACCTTGTATAACAGCGCTGGCTCAGGTCTCCTGAGTTCAGATGGATTTTAACCCGCTGCAGCTTAAATGTTTCTTCACCCTGCCTAATTTGTCTTTGTTATCTGGTTGCCAAGCTGTCTCGCATCTTAATATAGTAAGAAAAGAATGTGATTTATGGCTACACAGCCAGTGTATTAAGTAATAGATGGCTCTGTCTTAATAAATGGGGTATAAGCTATCTGAGTGTTTTCTTTTTATGTTTGTTTGGGAGCAAAGAAGTTGTCATTTTCAGGAGTTGGTTTGAAGTCTGTAGTGTAAATACATCTTTTTACCAATATTTAGTTATCACGCATGTCAGAGATAAGCAGATCAGAATAATCAGTAACTCCTGTTTATTTGGGTCCATTTCTGTCACATCTAAAATGCTCGAGTGAAGAGATCCAGAGACTGATAATTATCGTCTTCAGAAGTTTTGCCACACTGAAATTCCAGCAAGCTCCTAAATTAGCAAGTTTTTACTTAAATCTCAAGGGGTTTTTTTCCCCCAGTTGTGGGCCAAGTACATGGTTTCTGAGATATAATTGTATTCTATTGCACAGCCCCCATGAGCACAGCCTGAAGGATCAGATGTGTGTATCATCTGAGTGTCTCCTTTGTGCCTTATGGGAGCAATTCCTACGGCACATTAGTGTGGATTATGACAACTGGGCAAAGTGCTGCTGGTGAGGAGTTGTAGTGGGCACAGGAACAGCCATGTGACAAGCTGAAATAGTCTTGTGGGCTGCTCTCTGCAACTATTTTAGGCTGAATCTGTTAATTATATGTTTTCTAGAGCATTGCTCCTAAAAATACATGTAGTCTAGGCACCTTTTGCAGTCTTTATTTCTCATCACTTAGTGAACTAATAGAGAAACAAAGCCCTGAAAACAAAACGGTGGGGTTTTGGCTGCTTTATATAGAGGTTACCTTTGTAGTTTTAGCTTCATTTGAAACATGCAGAAGGTTAATTGTCTTAAACTCTGCTAAAATAAATCCATAATGGATTAAGAAACGCAAGTTGTGGGAATTGGCTTACCTTAGTGGTGTGGTTGATACACAGAGTTCTAATTCTGTTAAACTTAGGGCAGAGTTTGTCATTCATAGTATTCTATGATTTCAGTATTTTGAGTGTTTAGGTAAGGAAAATGATGCAGGCACAATATTTCACAATGGTTTCAAAACACCCAGGGGGTCTGAAGAGAAGGTTTCTGGAATCAGTCTCTTCTGTGTCACTTTAGTAGAGGAGGGAATTTGAGTCTGTCTCAGAAAGCTGTTTGAGCTGTGACTTTGCAGGATGCCAGAAAATACATGGGTATCTAGAACAGAATACATAACATAAGTATATAGAGTAAATATGAGAGGCCCTAGAATGAACATGCCTGGCTACCACTAGTGTAAGATGTGCTGAAGAGAATACATGCCTCTAGTGGTTCTTGAGCTTTGAGTTGTTCACATGAGCTGCCCAGACTTAATGCTGACAAGAGTAACACAGTACAGATTCCTGAAGCAATGTTCCTGCTGCTTTTATCTATGAGATAATATTTATCTAGGAGGTAAATGAATCTGTGAGAAGGATTTGTGGTGTCTGAAGCAGCTGGTGGTGTAGGGAACACCAGTATGGTTCCAGATGTGAGCTTCCCGGTAGTCAATATGCTAGCTCAGGTATGGCTGGAGTAGCACTGATGTGACCTGCTCATGAGGATGTTCTCACTTCATTCACCCATCAGCTGTCCTGTGGCATCTGGGAAGTCAAGGTTGTAACCTTCAGTAGGGCTTTTGTTATTTCTTACTGAAACAAGAATGGCTAAAAATTGCTATTTATAGGGTTTCTAA